GGGTCAAACGTCTAAAACATGCCTTCCTTCAGGAACTCAAATAAGAAGCAACCTAGGCGATGCGTATGCAATCCTTCGGCCATTCATGAAGGCGGCTTTTTGTAGTTTATCACGGTGTAATCGATTGAGATTAAATTCGATTACTATACTCCAGGTATTTACACTAAGCAAATGTTTAGGCTCGGATTTTGTCAATTTTCAGCTCTTTCGACGAGGGATTTCCTCATTGTCGTTCCCTAGGTACTGAAGTTTCTAATGTTATACCTTAGTAAAGTCAGAAGGTGCATTCAAACTTGGAGTAAATTCTGTAACAAAACCTTCCAAGGTTCGGCACAGTAGACTGTCCGAAGACTTTATCCAAAGTTCGCACACTGGGTATCACCTTAACTTAAATATGTCAGAACGGTATATAACACCGTATTTCGAGTTTTAAACCGGACTCGGCTAAATTCGAATTTTGGCGAATAGAAAATTCCTTTTTTGATGAGTATGCTTGATCAGAATCTCATATTCATTTCAGGTAGGATACGGGAGAAGAAAACTCCCACACTACAGGTCCGGGTGAACTAATTTTCAGAGAGGTTATAACTACAGTGATAGACCTAACTCATAAAAAGTTTCAAAATTTACGAATGATTGCTAATCACTCGCAAATCAACACCAGTGCGTAGATCCAATACATATCTTAATAAATTACAACTTCACGGGGAATAAAAACATAAACGAAATGCCAAATTTAATGTTGCGCTGGGTTAAAATCCCAACTTTAAAAAAAGTGAAAAACTCCGAAGAAATTAAAGATGGTTGTAATTGGGTAAACTGAAAATTTATGAGTATAGAAAAACTGTGCATGCAAAATACAAAGTATATACGAAAGAGCAAATAGAACAATCAGTAAAAATGATTTTTAGTGAAGTATACGTATAAACGTCTCTTCAGAATTAATGTAGGTTCAGGTGTGGTGGTTTGCCAATAGCCTAACTTCTGAGTATAGGTTCCATAACGGTCTCCCAAGGATCCGTCTCATTGTTTACGCTTTAGAATTCATTAAGATGCAGTACAAAAGACAAGGGGGACTTCAAAAGACGATTTGGCGAACATACGTAGACTTTCGATAGATCCTCCTTAGTCCTGTACATTTATAATGCTATCGAAATTATTAATAAGACAATGCGGGCCTGCAGGAGCTATTATGTAGCTGGGTTTTGGGGGGAAGAACAATATAAATGTCCAGGTATGAGGAGAAGTATTCGGAAGCTTACATATGCGCGCCAACTTGTCTTTGGAAGTCTTTAATGGGAATTTTCGCAACTATAAAACAGGTCTTCAATTGGTTTCGCTGACAGGGACGTATTAGGAACAAGAGTTTTCATAGGGGCCCCGTGTTGCCACACGAAATTCTCGTACGAATTTCCGTCGTCAGGTTTCAAGAGATAGATCGCGTTTAAGGTTGGCATTAATGGGAAAGTTAGGGTTATGTTTACGGTTATTTCTTAATTTCGAACTGGGAGAGGGGATCATTTATCCTTCGGAATTTGGTGTGCAATTGCATGACAGAGGGAGTACCCATTCGGCTGCCTCACCGAATTTCATGCACTTTTCCAATTTCAAGACGGCTGACACACCTTCCAACGCCCTATCACACATAAATCTGAAAAAAATCCGGAGAATTCAGTTGGCTCCTGGAAAGCGCTGGCAGTGATAATTGCTGAAAAAAGATCAAAGTATAACTTAGCCGTCTCGACGCTGCTAAGGGTGCAGTCTAATCACATGCGTCAAGAAATTACTCATGTTCTACATTGCATTATCACACACATTTTGTGGTAATGCAATGTGAAAATGCTGCCTTGTATTCCTGCAAATCGTTTTTTATTCAAGTCATAAGTAACTTGCAGAAATTAAATAAATATTTTTCATCCAAAGCAACGAGGAACAATGGTACTTTTGTCTTGGAGACAAAAAGATCTCAATTTCGTTTCGTACGTCAGAAAATCGATCGGCATTACCCGCAGAAAACACTGCTTCCAACGACTGGACTTTCGCAGTCGAAACTACTCTACAAAAGGTGCTTATTAGACGTGTTTAACCAGCTGATTAACACATTAAATTCAAGTTTATCGAATTAGCACTATGCGTACCCGTGTTTAGCCAACTGACACCATTGACTTACTAAAAACCTAGAAAAGGAGGGCATAACCTGAACTGATCGCAAAACCCATGATAGTTAGCAGAGAACCTCAACTATCTCTAAGACGCAGGAGTGACTTCTACAGTGTTATGGTGAGAGGGCGTTCATCGATCGGTCTACAGGAAAAGCTCATCCCGCTGCGTCTTGATGCCTGATCCAGACTACTATTTGCAGGTTAAGGGCAGCCAAAAAAGACAGGGAAAGTTGAGATGCTCGTTTCCGGTCTTTTAGTCGTCTTCAGCCAGTCCTTCCCCCACCCCACATTTGCACGATCGAGGATTTTAGCAGGAATTCTCTAGTCACAGAACGCCTTAGAATCCACAGTCCCTCCGCTGAGCTAGGAGTCCACTGTCCTGCCGGTTGCTATTGGGAATATCATTTAATGGTGCCTTCCGCAGATTGGAATGTCCTATTTGATCCACTTGTAATTAAACATAAGGCACCCGGTGAGACCTCAAAACACAGGTGTTTCGAGTGTTGACCGTACTCAAACCTTGCTATTTCTGTAGCGGATTCGAGTCCTACAGAGTCCGCCAAGTTTATCACAATATGGCCAGAAGAGCTGAGACTATCCACTACAGCGGGTGTACGTCCATCGATCAGGGTGCTTGTGTCCTTCTTGGAGTAAATTGGAAGAGACTTGTGCTACGTCCACCAATAGGTCGCCAGTTTGAGCACCGGGGATTGCATACCTCGGGATTGGGTATGACTGGCTAGTTACGGCTAACAAGTCAGAATTGGACATTCTAGTCTCAGTCTGTCAACAAGTGTTACGACATCCCCACTCCATATTCTGTCCTGAGGCAGAGGCTGGCCAAGGCAATTGACCACTCGGGGAGCGCGCAAGCCGGTGAGCCAGATGGCCGAGCAATCATCACGCCAGCATCCAACACGGGTGATGTGATGTCAACAATTAACAACTTGCATGCCGGTCATCAAGCCATTAGCGCACCAGTGGGCAACAATCCTTGATGAAGGGGAGCGCGGTTAATTGCTATAGGTATGCGGTAGTATAGCGACTGCATCCTATAAATACTGCGATTGCCTGTGCACGGGCCACCCTTTTCTACCACTGTCTCTGATGATGGATTCAAGTGAGAACCCGGAACGCCAGGCGAATAAAGCCCTTGTTCCAGCGATTGTTTCTTCTTCTTCTTCTTCTTCTTCTTCTTCTTCTGATCAGTCTCCCATGTCTTTGTCGGTTATACTAGCCTGTCTACTCTCGTCTCTATTCTCACGTCTAACGTTCTCCGATGTCAAGAAAATTTCAAGATGATCGGGGCTGGGCACAGTATCTGACAATGCTGAGCATGCAGAATGTCATTAACGACAAAGACATGAGAGACTGGAATGATGATTTCCTCCGTCTTTGCTGGTAGTATGATTCTGCCATTTTCATGCGCCGCTGTGCGGCTGCTATTTTGGCTCAAGAGAGAGAGAGCCCTGAGGCACTACGGGACGAGTTAGTTCTGTAAAAACGACAAGTTAACGCCCCTCTTCCAATGCTAAATATCTCCTGACCTGGACTGTGCTTCCACATGTACAAGGTTTTGAGGAACCGACGTGTTTCAGGAATTACACAGTCGAGAGTAACATAAAGATCACATTGAGAAATCATTGCAATTTCTCATTTGCCTACTAATCTTCCAGCCCGCCAGGTTTTGCCCGTTACATCAGTCATAAAGCAATTTTAGTTGTTTAAGTATCGGAGACAAATCACTAGATTCCAACTATATGGACTTCAGCTCCCTATTCCGATTCCACATACCGCGGCCCGTCCGACTCAAAGGGAATAGGAATGACATTGGGCACGGTATTTGAAGTGACTTATGTAGCACTCAGAACGCATGTCACGCAGGGTGTGGTTTCTTACAGAAATGCCATAAAGGCCACTTTACGACTGAGCTCTTTCAGTCTGCTTTCAATTCCAAGGAAGCGACAGGCATTTCATCGACTGTCTCCCTTTCACGGCGAGCATTCAGCGCCCCGGGTAAGTACTGTGGGAAAACTGTTCAACTAGCCTTCGCACTGGCCATTCCCTTCCTCATGTTTCAGGGCTCTACCTAAGTCTCTCGGTCGTCTGATGTCCACTTTTGGGCTAATACCAGTTACAGCACAAACCTCCATCAAGTCCGTGCCACAGAAGCCAAGACACGTCTAAATACCGCATATTTATGTATAATTTTCCTTATAAGGAAAATATTCAGCTTGTAATATGGAAACCCTGCGCGCAAGTGTAACTTTTGGAGGGGTCCAAAATTATTCTGAAATTAAGAAACTCTTTAAAATCAAACAATACTCTTCCTCCAAGTATAAACATTTGTACTAGACGTAATCCCCTATCAATCAAGTAAACGGGTGGATATTTTGTGGGTCTTTTGGATAAAATATATTTGAATCTATGAAGTCATCGAAAGTCAGAAAGGAAAATGCATACAAATTAAGAACGAAATCCAGTTCTAGCAAATGATCATTCAACTTACGGCCTTCTCCAGCCGCCGCCCCAGTTTTGAATTTATCCAACCAGTTGCAACTTCTCACGCTGTCAGTCACATTCTTGCCGCATTCCTCAGGGAGACAGCAAAGGGCATTTTCCGTGTTTGGATTCCTTATCTAAACATGCGGCGTGCACTGTCATGGAGCAGTAACAATTTGGTGCTGATTGCATATGTCTGCTTGTCACGAGCACATGTTTCCAGCATCTCAAAAAATATCTCCTGACCTGGTATCCAGACGACGGCTATGCGGCCCGTCAAGTGCTTACATACTAGTCAACTCAAGGTTTCGCAGCTGGGTTTACGACAGCAGATTGATGCGTGGTGCCGAGACTGGTAACGCCCATGAGTCGGACCATGTCCTCGTCCGTACACGCCTGAAAGTTAATCTCTCATCCGCGACAAAAATGCCACGTTCTAGACAGCTCGATGTCGAAAAAATCCGGCAAACCAGCACTGCCGAGGCCCTGAGCAGAGAAATCCAGAACCGTCTTACGACTCGAGCCGACGGAGAAGTCAGCAACGAGTGGTCTTCACTAAAGACGTCAGTCTAATGGGCTGATGAAAAAAGCCGTGGATGCACCCAGCGACGCCGCAGTGGATGGATCAGCGGAAGAACCCTGCAGTTGTCCGCTCGGACGACTCGATGCAGGTCCCGTAACGATGACTACTTCCGCGAACTTCAGAAGATGACGGCAAAATCGGCCAGGGATGACCGGAAGCAATATTGGACTGAAATAGCGACCTCCATGGAACAGGCCTCGAGCCTTGGTGACACACGAAAACTCTGCAAACGTATTCGCCAAGTTGGCAGTAAGCCCTCCACACTGCGTGATTCAGTTTGCGACGTGAACGGCGGCTTTCTTGCTGACAACCCGGCCAAAGTCGAGCGCTGGCGTGAGCACCATCTCAACTTCGATACCCAACCTATCTCGCTCTTGCTCTCCTCTTCAGCGGAGTTTTTTTCCTCTCTCACCTCTGCAGTGCCATTCGACCCCTCGACTCTCTGAAGGAGAAGTCGTCGACGTCATACAAAAGTTACGCAACAATAAGGCACCTGTGGAGGACGGTATACCCGCTGAAACCTTCAAGTCTTGTGTTGACACTCTGGCACCGTGGCTTCATGGGGTGATTGAACGAGCGTGGAGAGACGAGGTTGGTCCTGATGACTGGGGCTTAGGCATCCTTGCACTTATCCTCAAGAAGGGAGATAAGACGAGATGCGAGAACTACCGCGGCATAAGTCTCATCGACGTTGCTGCGAAGATCTTCGCTATTGTCCTACTCAGGCGATTCCAGGCTGTGCGTGACTCAAGGACGAGGCCCAACCAAGCCGGATTTCGTGCTGGACGTGGATGCGCAGACCAGATATTCACACTGAGGCGCATTCTCAAATTTCGCCATAGCCACCAACAAACGACGGCCGTCTGCTTCATTGACTTTGCCGCGGCGTTCGATTCCGTTCATCGTGAGTCCCTGTGACGGATAATGGCGCTAGATGGTGTGCCGGCAAAAATAATCGCCATGATTAAGGTCCATTATCGCTAAATTACTGCGAGAGTCCTGGTCCGCAACAATCTTTCCCAACCGTTCGGTATTCGGTCTGGTGTTTGACAGGATTGTATCCTGTCGCCCATTCAGTTCAACTATGCTATTGACTGAATCCTTGGAAGAGCCCTACACGAAGGTGATGGTGTTGAGTTTGAACCCGGACACCGACTGACTGATCTTGACTATGCCGAGGATATCGCCTTACTTGCTTCAAGTTTTGGTAATCTGAAGTCTATGGTGGCACGGGCGAGCGAGGTCGCTAAATCGGTCGATTTATCCATAAACGCTGGGAAGACTAAAGGAAAGGCACCCCTGGGGATTGATGGCTGTCAACTTGAAGTAGTAGACAGTTTTAAAAACCTCGGGGTGAGGCACTGCCTAATGGACAAAGTAAGACCGACATCGCCTTCCGAATCGATGTTGCCCACTGGGTTTTCAAAAGCCGACGTGACCTCTCCATCGCCACTAAGATTCGCGTGCACCGTGCATCTGTCCGGTCTGTCCTTCTGTACGGTTTTGAATGCTGGGCTTTGCGCGTGCAGAACGAGCGAAAACTGGAGGTATTTCACCACCACTGCTTGAGGACCATCCTTCGAGTAAAGTTAACCGACTTTGTCTTAAATGAGGCAGTCCGCGCTCGCTACGACAACATCGCAATGATAACTCAGGCGATCCAAGAAAGACGACTGATGGGGTTTTGGCAGGTTCTTACTCATCCACCTCAGGAGCTCAGTGTTACTGCCCTCGATCCGACACCGTGGTCCCATTGGAAGCGTCGAAGAGGGGGTCAGTTCAAAACCAGGCTCGATACAGTTCGTCAAGACATGGAGGTGGTTCTTGGACCTTCAGTATTCGGTGTCCGTTGTTGGCGAAGGGAATGGGTTGGACTGTCCAGATCTGCTGCCGCGGATCGTCACGCGTGGAGAGGTACAGTTCGTGACATCATCGAGGTCGTCTAGATCAGGCATAATCGCAGCCGTATCAAGTACAAGTACTTTGGTACCTATTGCACATAAGCACCAGCGACTGTTTGTTTCGACCGACGTTCTGTTCAATGATATACCACCCCATCCGGTCAGTCAGTTACATCGCTTCTCATTCAGGGCTTTTTCTTGATGAAACAGTATTTTCCGCGAACCATGGCCGGCCACGTTGGCTGATTAGCTCAATTCTGGACTGGGGGACGTAGTTGACTGCTAGATCCGACTCTCTTCCCACTTCCCTGAACAAGTGGTCTGACCAACCTTGGCCGACTGAGGATCACATAGGCGCAGAGGCTCACGCCACCGAATGTCGTCTTCTAAAGTGTGTTTCGGGTTAGGCCCGCATAAGCACAGACTGGCTCGCAAACGACCATTCGCGTAATGCGAGCATGGCGAATGTGGTCAAGTGGCCCTGGCGACGTGGCTCGACATAAGGCGTGGCATTGCTGCCCGCAAGCAGCGCTGGACATTCCTGTTTCAACCTGCTTTAGGACCGGAGAAATGACAAATCGTCAGACAGAGTCACCCATAAGAACGCAAGAATCAGGTCCGTCTTTGGTGGTTACGGCTCCAGCGCCAGCAGTCACAAGTAGGACGTCTGCACTTGACTTGAGAGAGAGAGCTGTGTAGGCAGAAAGTGGGCCACTTTTGCTACGAAGAGCTAAGGACCTTTCGAGTAAGGTAGACAGGGAAGTTAAGACCAAGGTAGAACCGGACGCGATAAGATGCTTGTGGACATAACCGTGTCATGCGGTTAATGTGCTAGATCAACACGAGGCCCAGAGTTGAGTACTGCACGCGTTACTGGGCTGTGCAGCGATGTAAAATGGCACGCTTAGGTGCAGGCTCACGTCCCGCCAGCCACCTGCGTCCGAATCTGCTCCCGGTCTTTTTAATTCTCCCTTGAAACGGGGTCCAGAAGGAGGAAGACGGATGGAGTGAGATAGACGCAGTGCAAGTCTACCGTCATTATACGCGCAAGTCACCATCCCCGCGTCCACCCTAAGTGGAACGTACGGTGGACATTGTCAGTAACGCCGGTCGGATTGTTGTGCAGTTTACTGCGAAGTAGGTAACATGAGGGCGTAAAGGTGGGCATACGGGGACCAGAAATCCACAAACAAATATGCAGAAAGGCGTACTGATAGAGCCAAAGAATTCAAATTAACCCAACTGTGACAAACTCAGCGCCTCGGTGGGATTCGAACCCACGCAGTAAGGTGAAGGCTTTAGTCCAGCCAACGCTCTAACCACTTGAGCTAAAAGGTCCCGCCGTGAGCCTGGTTGTCATCTGGTGGATTCTAGATGAATTACTTAGGAAATCATGCTTGAGCAGTCAACGTACTGTTTCAGATTTGGTGGATTCCAGACGTTGCATAAGGCTGAGCGGGGCCTCATAGCTCAAGTGGCTAGAGCGTTGTATGTATTTAAGCTTTCTCCTTAATGCGCCGAGTTTTTCACAGTTGGGTCAATATGAATTATTTAAAATCTGCCAAAACATCTATGAAAGACAAAGAATGCAGGAGTGGCCATTCTCGGTTTATTACCTGACATTATTCGGCCTTGCCGAGCTCCAGGTTCGCACGATCAAAAGTCAAGCCCAAATATATGGTCATAGAAAGTTTTTAGGTTTAACACCCTACAAGTGACAGAATAGCGGCTTGAGGTTCTATGGAAGAGCGTTAGGACTAAAAAACCAGGTGAGAGAAGAATGCGGATTCAGATCCCATATCTGCAAATCTTGGGCCTAGGTACGGCTGACGGACGATGGCAAATGGATCAGAAGTGAGCCCCTAACCTGATCCGTAATAGCACTTTCCGTCATAATGGATGGATAGACATGGAATATTTCGATTCTCTTCGGAGTCTGAAGAACTCCGTGTTTCAGGTAAGTTGTACAAACTCCTTTGGAGACTCTGAATTACCATCCTCCACATTTTACACTAATTTTAAGAAAACCGGAGACATTAGATTCTTAAACGGCATCGATCACGTAATCAGCAGGGGTATGCGCGCGGCTTATCAAACTGCCGAAGTAAATTCAACTACTTCACAAGCAGGCTGGACATTCCACTCACTTAAATCCCAAGGTCAGCCTGTGTTACAGCATCTGTGGGATTTTCTTTTGAAGTTGTCATAAGCGACCCTGCTAAGTAGTTGTTAGGACGGCCCAGAACACGACGCACCGTTTCTGTCGTCCGGGGGTCGCGCCTGTAAAGAACCGCAAACTCGCCGGACAGCCTCGCCTAGGAAGCCCGCATGCGAGCCAGACATTAGCACGCCGCTGAGTCATGCGCGACCTCCAGGGGCCAGCAACACGCGAGGGCCTGCCTATGCGGGCGCTCAGGACTGGACCAGCAGGAACACGCAAACCAGACGAAGGCTGAACCCTTAAATACGATGCCACGGACGGAAGGATTAAGAGTTGATATACACAGAATGACTGACGCAGTAAAGCTGTTCTCTCCTATCCTGTCTGTCTTCTATTTCGCACAGAACTGGCGTTATACTAATTGGGGATATAACAAGTGGCGACGCAGGTGAACACAGAAAATGATCAGTGAAGAACAGATGCAGAAATTGTTGGAAGCACAGCAACCCAGTTTTATGGCTCTTCTCGCAGGAATGCAGACGGACCCGAAGCAGGCAGGAAACGATGACAGAAGGAAGTGGCAGGAGGAGAGGGTCACGGAATTCACTTACGACCCTGACGACGGTTTTACGTTCGATATGTGGTTCAGAAAATACGAATTACTGTTCGAAAGAGAGGGGAAAAGTCTTGCTGACGGAGAAAAAGTGGAAATTCTGTTGCTGAAACTTGGACGAATGGAACACGAGAAGTATGTATAATTCGTCCTACCGAAGAAACCGGCCGAAATCGAATTCACGGAGACGGTGAGAAACCTGAAAGTTTTATTCAACTATTCAAAGTCATTGTTTAACAGACTTTTTGAATGTTTTAAATTGGAGAAGAGAGTAGACGGCGACTATTTTGATTTGGCAGGCAGACTAAATGATATGTACCAACAGGCTGATCTAGAGAAGGCAACAGAAAACCAGGTTAAGGCCCTGTTGTTCATAAAATCACTTACTCTACCGGAAGACGCGGACATACGCACACGGCTGCTGTCCAAACTGGATCAGGATGGTGACACGACTGTACAGAAGTTAGCGGATGAATGTTTTAAACTCAGGAACATTAAACAGGATACAAAGTTGATTGGCGAAACAAACAGTCAACAGCTACAGGTGTTGGACATTAGAAAAAATTGGCCGCCACAGAGAGAAACATTTCCCAGAAGACCACAGACTGCCTGCTGTCAGTGCGGTGGCTGGCACTATGTCGTCGACTGCCCCTATAAAACGCAGAAGTGTTTCAAATGTTCGAGATTTGGCCACAAATCGACATACTGCAGAGCAGGACGGCCAAGTCCCAGGAAACAGTGCAACGCCGTTTCTGATGGTGAGGCACGGGTGCTAGGCTGTGAACACCGAAAATACCTAACCGTAATCATAAATGAGAAAGCCGTCAGACTTCAAGTGGACACAGCGTCTGATCTAACGATTATAGCGGTAGAAACATGGCAGATGATAGGAGCACCCAGTGTTATCCCAAATCCTGTCACTGAAAGGGCATCAAACGACACGGAAATGAAATTCAAGGGATGTTTTTCAACTAGTATCGGATTTGGGGATAAAAATTGTCTAGCAGGCGTCTTCGTATCGGGGTGTCCGATCGATCTCCTGGGAAATAAGGCAATCTCCGAGTTGGTGTTATGGAGTCAGCCATTTGACAGAATCTGCTGCGCAGTACAAGAAACGGGAAAGAATCTGCGGGAGAAGTATGCAAAAATGATGGAAAAGTCAGTCGGGAAATGTACCAAAACGAAATCAGTTTTACGCATTAAACCAAACAAGAAACCAGTTTTCAGGCAATGTCTTCGAGTC